GGGGGGGGGAGGGAGAAAAAGAATCTACTGTACTTTACCGGGCTTCGGTGTGGAACCAAATTTTTCAAACATCTCAAACCAGTACTTTCTCAAGAGTTCCAACCATACAACATATCGTGATCTTTGAAGGCCAAAAGCGTCAAATTTCACATACTTTTAATATTATCGTCAGTATGGTCGATTCGCTTCCATGAAATGAACTTTACTGGTAAAGAACTAACAAAATGCTCCAAGAAAGTTACGACGGAATGATGCATAATTTACCTGAGGTTTTTTTTTAAAATGGCCTTATTACCAAGGGAGGCAGGAATAAGCTAATCTCTTGAGAGAGAGAGAAAAAAAAATGATTTAAAAATTGAAATGACCGAGTTCATAGAATCCGAACACGAAAACAATGGGTTCAATCAAAACTTACAGAATTTAATTTCACCCCAATCCTCATGACTTAGTTAATTGGCAGGGTGGCAAAAATTTTGCGGGGGAGGCCTTTACAAATTGCACTGAATTCCGGAGAGAGGGAGAGAGAGAGAGAGAGGGCAAGGGACCTGAATTCCAATTCACAAGTTGTGGAATTCATTTCAAATGAAATATGAGGGAAAAGGAGACACAAACACACAGGGACTTTGCACTGATACACACAATCGTAGAAGTTGGCAAAATTCGACATTCATTGAATTTGAACCACTTCAATAAAGCGTGCTTGTTCATATCATCCATTGGCGGGGGGAGGGGGGGGGGGGGGGGGGGGGGGGGGGTGGAGAAGAAGGCGAAGAAATAAATACTTCGCTTAAATAATTGTCACCATTTGTCAAGCTATACTCAAGACTAAGCATTCCGTGGGAAAATAGCTCTATTCTCACTAAAAACTTGGAAAGTTAACGGATTTAGCACTTTTCAATCACTTTATAGCTAAGGGGATGGAAGTGGATTCACCACCCGATCCTTTAAGCCGAAGCAGTTTGAAATGCTTCTACCACTAGACTTAATTAGTGCAATTGGCCATTCCACTCATTGAATGCGCGCCGATGAGGCTCAAATCCACGAAATTCGAGATGACAGAAGCATACAGCGACCCCATCGACGCACAAATGTACACGCGATTACTCATAACTACTAAAATTAACTTGATCTAGTTTGCAAAATGCACGATTGTGAAAACGGAAATTAATGTAAACTGAACCTAACTCAAATTTTTCACAAAGCTAATACAAAAGGCTGTAATATACTCTACGAATGGTATACAAGCGTTTATTTTCTAAATCAACTGCGCTACGTTTTCAAAGCTCCATAGTAATGAGCAATTAAAAGCTAACACCACATCACGTGTTCATCATATTTGATAGAGTGAGATCGAACAGGTCACATCAAGTGAGCGTCATCTCACGTGAATGCGCTCTCTCTCTACTAAATGCTGAGATTCTTGCACTCAACCATTAAAGACTGCAGCAGATACAAGAAGGGGCACCCATATTAATATTGATCGAATGTACTTATAACAGGGCATCGCAGCATAGGCTAATTGAGGCATGCATGCGATTTGTGTTAAGTAAACACAAATGAGCGCCACTCCTGAGGGAGTAATTAAACAAATAAAACAAACAGTACAAATCTGGGTACGGCCTGGGACTTATACATAAGATGTGATTGAAAGGTGACTCTCCTATTAATAACACTTTCTACAAACTTAAACATTCAAGAAATTGGACCAACTTTTGTTTAATAAAAAAAAAATAGTGAAGGAACAAGAAGTATGAAAGAGCCTATATAGCTTCGAAAGCAACCGGAAGGTGTGAGAAATTGCAAGAAAATGTCTACATGAAACTTTAAATATAGTGTTTTTGTGCATTATTTTATACATAAAAGAACTGGCAACTGCGTCGTTGGCGGCTATCTCTCTCTCGCTGAAGAGACAAACATATTAATAACAACACGACCGCCTCCGTAATTCAATCAATTGACACCAAACCCAAGATGGATAGCCAGCTCTATAATTCCGAATCTCGAAAACAGAATGTGGAATTTGAACTTTGGAAAGTCCAGTTACACCACATTTGGAAAAAAAACTTATAAATTTACGTAAATGGTGAACAACCTCTTTTCCCACCTCACCTCTTTCTTCACGAGTATGCTTGAAGCAGTTCACTGTTACTCGTTTTTTTAGCTACTTTCGCTCAATGAGAAACATTGCAATGGTCAATCATTCCGTTATTTTCTCTTCAGAATATTCGGAAATCCTAACAGATGAGAGAGAGAGAGTGAGAGAGAGGCAGAACTCATCGTCACTCTTGGCATTCTCGTAGTGATGTCAGTCTATCTTCGAATAACCTGGGATACACACACACACGCACATGGTAGATTTGAATTTTGCTGACGCGATTATAACAAATATTCGAAAAGAGCTGAAAATCTAGAACTTCATGACCCAGACAGTCCTACTCCCTCCCCCAACCCATCTCCCCTCCCCCCGGAAAAAAAGCTGTTTTATCAATGAGCAGGTAATTACCATAAAAATTATGGGTAAAAAGTCTTACCTTGGTTGTTCAGTACATTTGACAACTATGGTTTAACGAGTAATTCCGTGCTCCAATGGCGTGGACCGCCAACTTCAATTGAAGCATAACCGATTAAGCATTTGGCAATAACTTGCAACATTGTACAGTTTTGAAAATTGGGAGAGAGAGAGAGAGAGGAGTAAGTCATATTTCATAATTTTGCCAAATTTTACCACACTCCAATAAATTACCTACTACCCACAGGATTTGAGCAAAATAGCTCATAATTGGGTCTTTAAATCACGGCACATGGGTTCTACCGAAAAGCTCTTTGCCTTGCGTGATTTATTTCCAACGTGGCATTGAAAGAGCGCAAATTCTCAAGACGCCTTATTAAAAACCGATAAGAAATTCGTTTAAAAATGCATTGTTAGAGTGCTCAAATTAGGTGATTATTACTCCAGACTTGACCTAAAAATCAGTGACCCATAAAATGACCTGGAACATTTTACCCACCATATTATAGTAGTAGGGGGGGGGGGATTCATCGAGCACTTTTTCCCTAAATAAAATAAACGCATTCCAAAGATAGTAAATTAGGGTTATAAAAATACATTTACAAGAGGCCACACCCAACCACTGAAAGTCCTTAGATAAGAGCAAATTATTTCTTTCTTTCTGTCTTTCTTTTCTGCCTAATCTCCTTCCTTAGCAAGAATATTTCAGGAGTAAAATACCTGCAATCATTATATGCATGCACACAAATTGCAAAGTGAACAATCACACTGCATTGAGGCAAAAAATGCTGTGCACCATAATTCATGTATTTCTATTTCAATTTTTTGGGGCCAAAGAAGTTAAAAAAAGAGAGACGAGGAATTTAAGTGGAATGGAAAAATAGGAATTGTTGAAACCAAAAATAGACACAGACACCATCTCTCCAATCGCGTTCTTTTTCTATTGACTACAAAATATCTTACTTCATAAACGCACCAACACTACTTACTGGATGGTGGTCTTAGAGCGAGAATGCAAAGAGCTGAAAGAATTTAATAAATTTTGACGATATGCAATGAGGTATATTAATGATCCTCTAATTGAGTTAGTGAAATTCAGCCACCTCTGTAATATGCCGCCATTTATTGGAAGGAATTTTGAGGTCCCCTCTCTCTCCCCCCCCCCCCCCCCCCTATCAAATAGTTCCAGGCCGTTAGATTGACCCTGCCGTTCACGAAATGTGACCTCTGGATATGCAGACGTAGACGTTGAGCCCCACGCGACTTATTAGTGACAAAAGCCAAACAGCGCGATTGGCTATTCCAATCAAAATCATGAACGCCCAAACATGACATCACAGTTAGGTCATCTGTGTATCAGAAATAGATTGACCTTAAAATCTGATGCAAACTTTAAATCATTAATTTATTTCAAATGGGGGTGTGCGATAGACTTACCTGGGCAACGTATACTCATACGGCAAATAAAGTCAATAAACCGGCAATTGACTTCTGACTTCAAACAACCATGACCCCACTGCATTTCATATTCGAATAATTTC